ATGTGTATTCGTAAAGTTGTTTTATCTGCACTTGTAGCTGTGGAGACAAATTACTGAACAGGATTTATGTTATGCTCAGACACTTACGCTAACGAGGATAAAAGCAACCAAGCAGCTTCAAATGATCTTATTTGATATTGTATTTCCAAAGTGAAAAATAATTTTGTTTTATTTCAAGATTTTATCTTGAAACTGAAGTGCATTTAAAAAAGAGGATGTGTGGGGGGGGTAATGGTAAAATATGTACACATATAATACCTTAATAATAATAATTATATATTAGGTCTAGTAATAATTAATTCGTTTTCTAATACTTTTTAAAATCGAATTTATTTAAACAATACAACAAAATTTAATCAACAATATAGTTGCCGTTGTTTTCTACTACTTGTGCCCAACGCTCAGGAAACATTTTAATCCCTCTGTTGTAAAATTCTTGTGATTTTGATGCAAAAAATTCGGTCAATGCATTTTTGAGGCATTCTTCATTATTAAATTTTTTTCCAAGAAGAAAGTTTTGCAAAGAACGAAACAAATGGTAATCGGAAGGGGCAATATCAGGAGAATATGCAGGTTGAGGGAGAACTTCCCATTCCAACTGGCACAGTTTTTCAGCAGTGATTCTTGCAGTATGCGGTCGTGCGTTATCGTGGTGAAGAATTACGCCCTTCCGATTAATCAGCGCGGGTTCTTTTTCTCTTAAAGCTTGGGCTAACCTTTCCAATTGGGCACTATACACTGCACTTGTAATGGTTTGGTTAGATGGTAAAAGTTCATAATGAAGAATTCCTTTAAAATTCCACCAAACACACAACATCACTTTTTTCGCATGCAAGTCAGGTTTTGGCGTGGGCTGCGGAGCCTCATTTTTGTCCAACCATTGAGGCCGCCTTTTCAAATTAACATACAGCACCCATTTTTCATCCCCGGTAACAATATGCTCTAAAAACGGCAAACGGTTTTGATGAGAGAGGAGCGAATTGCAAATTGTGACTCTTTGATTACGGTTGTTGTTGGTCAACTCATGAGGAACCCATTTTCCAAACTTTTGGACTTTGCCAAGTGCACGCAATTGATTGGAAATTGTTTTTTTGTGAACAATTTAAAGTTGTCGCAAGCTCTTGTTGGGTAATTTGAGGATTTTGCACCAAAAGAGCTTGAAGAGCTTCTTGGTCAAAATTGGACACACGGCTTCGACCACTCTTGTCATCTAACGAAAAATTTCCCTCGCGAAATTTCTCAAACCAACGCTGGCATTTTCTGGCGCTAACTGCATCTTGACCAAGAGCACTACAGATGTTTTTTGCAGCCTCACTTGCTTTTCTTCCTAATTGGAACTCGTAAAGCATGCAGTGCCGAATATGCTCTTCATCCGCCATCTTCTTAGCCCTAGTTTTGCAACAAAAACCAAACCAAACACAAACTTTTTCAAGCAAAACTTGTTAATTGCACTTCACACGTTCTGTAGATACCACGTGTTTGAAGGTTATGTCAATACAAGTCAACGCCAAGCAAGATTTTAAACGAACGTTAAAAACGACATTAATTATTACTAGACCCGATATATATATTAAAATAAAAAAGAGGATTTGAGGTATATAGCTTTCTCAGAAGAGGCCTACATTTTAACAATAGGAAAAACGATTGTAATGATATAGTAAGTGTTCAGAGATGGTCTTATTCTAGTATTCTTCAGAGTCAGTATATACTACGGGCTGGTGGCCAGGTCTGGGGCAGAACAAACACCAGGAATATGATCCACACACGCTTCAGACAGTTTTCCAGTTGCACTAAAACGGAGCCAAACAAGCTGCATGATCTCAGCTTTGCTCCGGCAATCACCCTCTGGTAGCTTCCTGGCATGTCTTTTATTCTCTGGTGGCAGAGAGTAAGTGGAGTTGCCAGGTTACTGTTGATGAGTAATTTTTAGAAACAGAAAATCAGTGTTCTGGTTCTGAATGATTCATCTTGCACTCTGGGGCATGTGAATGTTAAACAGTTAACTATCAGTTGGTGCTTAATCTGTTAAATCTTGCTCAACCCATAATTTGAGTGCTTTTTTTTTCTTTAAGTATGAAAGAGATGGATTATATTTTCCTTCCAGCTCATTCAGAAGTAAATGGCACAATCATTTGGTATTAAATAGTAAGAACAAAATGAATGTTTACTAAATTATGTGAAATGAGCTTTCCACATCAACTATTCAAGTATCAAATTGGATTTAAGCCCTAAAACCTGAAAGTTTTAGAATATGAGGAATGTGACTAAGAAATGTAGGGACCCCATTTTTTAGCCTCTTTTTTTTGTTCAGCAGATGTGAGGCATAATCTGTCGGCCGTTTTCAGAGGCATCCTTCCAAAAGATTTATTTATCAAGGTATGACTTTGGGTTAGCTTCAAGTTTTCTCATATGTAAAATGGGAATAATAACATTTGCCTCACCCTAGCCAGTTTGGCTTCGTGGATAGAGTGTAGGCCTGAGAACTGAAAGATCCCAGGTTCGATTCTGGTCAAGGGCACATGCCCGGGTTGTGGGCTTGATCCCCAGTGGGGGATTTGCATAGGCAGCTGATCCATGATTCTTTCTCATCATGGATATTTCTATCTCTCCCTCTTCCTCCCTACCTGAAATCAATAAAAATATATTTTTAAAAAATAACATCTGCCCCACAGAATTGTTGATATTAGAATGTAAGTGAAGCATCCATTCATTTTATTGTATAGTAGAGACTTGGTGCATGAAATTTGTGCAGGGGGGGCAGGGTCCCCTCAGCCCCGCCTGTACCCTCTCCAATCCAGGACCCCTTGGGGGATGTCTGATGGGGCCTAAACTGGCAGTTGGACATCCCTCTCACAATCTTGGACCTCTGGCTCCTAATTGCTCACCTGCCTGCCATTCTAGACGCCCCATGCAGCCTGCTTGTTCAGTTTTGGTTGTCCCTCACTAACCCCCCTGCTGGCCTGGTCCTAAGCAGCCATCTTGTGAGGGTGTGAGGGTTAATTTGCATATTACCTCTTTATTATATAGGATGTATATTCATAGATATTATTGTAGGCTTCCAGAAAATTTTAGCTACATACTATTTTATTTATTGAAGATACTTTTACTTGGTTCAAAAGATAATGTTATATGCTGTATCTTTTGAAATCTTTTCCAGCCACATAATTCTCCATGGAATCAATAGATGTATCATTTTCTTGTGTATCTTGCTAGAGATATCTATTCTGCTTAACTAAAAGCAAAAATGTATATTTTTCCCTATTTTTAAAAACATGAATGAAATCTTACTAATTAACATTTTCATTTTTATCACTTAAACTGTACCTTAGAGGTTGTTCATACCAGTAAAATTTGTCTGTCTAAATTAGACATAGCTGTATATTAGCGCGTGCGTGTAATGTGTGTGTGTGTGTGTGTGTGTGTGATCACGAGCAAGCTAACATGCTCTAATTTAGTTACCAAATCTAACCCTTCACTATTGGATATTCATTCATAAATTCATTTTATTAATTAACTCAACAGATATTTTTTGAAGGCTTACTACCAGTCAGACTAGGCTCTGACAATACAGCCAAGAGCAAATCAGACACAGTCACTTTCCCCCATTACAGTGAATAAGAGGCTGGACATTCCACTCTGTTGTGGGTGCGTCAGCCCTACACTGGCCCTGGGTGGCTGACTGTCAGGCTCGGATTTGCAAGATTGTCCAGCATCGCTCTGGCTCGGGGTGTGGTCCAGAGGCAGGGCAGGCAGACAGAGTCTGGAGCAGCGGTAACCCCGCGGGGAGCCCGGACTTCCAATTCAGTCGCAGGGATGAAGCAGAGGCCTCTCTCGAGACTTGAGGGGAACCGCCGGCGGCGGGGGTCCTTGGGGCGACTTAGGGGCATCGCTCCCAGAGGTGAGCGTGGACACGTCCCAGTTCGTGTCCCCTCCACGTCTGCAGCAGCAGCACACGGGGACGTGGGAGACCACTTCCTAAGCGCTCCACAAAGATGGACAAACCAAGGCCCCGGCTCACCAGGTCCGGACTGATGCCCACCTGAGCCTGGGGGGAGTGGAGGGGCGGGGGCTGGGCCAGTTCACAGCCAGCTCACCAGCTGGGCAGACGGAGCACCCCTGGGCGTGTGGTGAAAGCCGGTGTAGTGAGCGGGAGGGCAGCGACAGTGGCGGGAGCCGAGCGCCGGGAGGAAGAGCCGGCCCGGGGGCCGCAGACCTTTAAACTCCGGGCGCGCGGGAACCACAGCCCAACAGCCACAGGCGGGCCACCGGCCAACAGCCGCCCCGACCCCGCCTCTCGCCAAACGCTGTCCAATCAGCAACTCTCCAGCCACCGCCCCTGTCCGTCTCCGTCCCCGCGCGCCTCCGCCCCTGCGATCCTCCCGGGCCGGCGGGGGCGGGGCTCCCGGCGGGGTGTCCGGGCGAGCGCTGACGTCGCACGCTCCCCGGGAGTTTCGAACGCAGTTGGCCTCCGGGCCAGAAAAAACACAGGAGCGGCGGCCAATGGCTGGCCAGGAAGAACCCGCGCGCGGCCCCGGCCCCGCCCCGCCCGGCTGGAAAGACATGCAGGACCGGCCATTGGCTGGCGTGACCTGTCAATCCTCACTGCGGCCAGTGGGCAGGCGCCTCGCTGTGATTGGTTCCGCCCAGGCGCGAAATGTAACGCGGGAAAAGTCCGAGTGGGGACCGCTGCAGCAGGTTGTTATTTTGGGGGTTCGGCGGCGTGAGTTTTGCTTTCCTGTCCCCGCAAGCCGGGCCGCCCGCTGCTTCCCGCCTCTGCAGCCTGCGAGCAAAGAGAGGAGGGCGGGCTTGCCCGGGGCTGGGGTCCGGCCCTGACCCCGGTGCCCGCCGAGCTGCCCGCTCCATCGCTGGCCGCCGCACAGGAGGATTCCGGGAAACGTCCGCGGCCATGAGCCCGCGGGACTGAGAGCCAGCGACTCGGAGCAGCGCGGGCAAAGGGAGCAGAGGGCCGGCGGAGCTGCGTGTCGGGTCGGGGAAGGGCGATGATCCGGGGTGTGGAAGTGCCGATGGCGGACCACCCGCCGCCGCCGCCGCCGCCGCCCGTCATCTTCTGCCACGACTCCCCGAAGCGGGTGCTGGTGTCGGTCATCAGGACGACCCCGATCAAGGCCACGTGCGGCGGCGGAGGGGAGCCGGAGCCGCCGCCGCCGCTCATCCCCACCAGCCCCGGCTTCAGCGACTTCATGGTGTACCCGTGGCGCTGGGGCGAGAACGCGCACAACGTGACGCTCAGCCCGGGGGCCGCGGGGGGCGCCGCCTCGGCTGCCCAGCCCGCCGCCGCCGCCCAGCGCCCGGGGCTCCGCGGCCGGGGCGCGCCGCACCCCGCCGCCTCGGGGGGCGAGGACGAGGAGGAGGCGAGCAGCCCGGACAGCGGCCACCTCAAGGTGAGCGGGCGGGGCGGGGCGCGGGGCCGCGGGGCGGTTAACGGCGCGGCCGGGAGCTGGCGGCGCCCGCGGACGCGGCGGACGCGGCGGGTGGGGCGGGGCCGAGTTTAAAACGCGGAGCTGCCGGGCCGTGGCGGGGGCGGGTGACAGGACGCTGACGTCACTGCCGCGCGCCAAAAAGCGGCCCCCGCGGGGGGTGAGGGGGGTTGGCGGGGCGGCGGCGCGGACGCGCGGGCGAGGCCGGGCGGCCCCAGCAGGTGCCGGCCACCGGCGCTCGGCCCGGGTCGTGGAGGCTGACAGCGGAGTCCGCGGCGCCCCCCGGAGCTCCTCGGGATGCGGGAAGGAAGGGGGCTCCGCCGTTTGTGCTCCATCACCATGGATACTCGGCCCCGGCTCCGCCGAAGATGCCCCGCGGAGGCAGCCGGCGAGGGAGAAGGGACGTCGGGGAATCTTCGGCCACGGCACTCGGGCCCTCGCTGCCTTCCGAGCATCCAGCGAGCTGCTTTGCTAGGTGTTGAAGCACAGAGGCATGCGACGCTGTTGTCGCTGACCTCGAATTGGTCGACTCTGAGAATGTTTAGAGCTGGGGAGGGTGACTGCCCGGTTCAAACCTACATTTTACGGATGAGGCAGTTGAGGCTTAGGTAGAGCCTGGCGAAGGGACCTCCCCGCGGTCACTCAGCGGGAGTGGGAGAGCTGGGCTTGGGGTTGAGTTTCTGTGGCTCCTAGTCCTGAAGCATGTGTTCGGGCTGCCTCTCTGCATACATGCACTTAGCTCTGTAGACTAAACTCCAGGAGGGCCGGGTCATTTCTCTTTGGTAGACTCTCCGACTTGAGTACCGTACACACTAGATGTTGAGAAAAGTAGTTCTGTAATGAATGAATGGCGCTACTCTTAAGTTACTATTCAGATTCTGTGTGTTAACTGGCCATATAAGATAAGCAGCTTGCCAAAGATAAAACAAGTAAATCATCTAGTGCATTAAGTACATTTGTATTGGCAAATACTGTATAAATTGAAACAAGTTTGATCATTTTACATTCAGTAGCAAAGATGTTGAAACTCCGTGTTGTTGGAGCCCGAGGAAATTGATACACTTTGTGTTTCTAATGTCATCATTATTAAAGAGCTATAAAGTTACAAACTATGAGCTTTGCCATACTTCAGCTCTTGAAGCTGCACTTCAGTAAAAGTTTGAACAAGCAGTAAAAATGTTCACAATAGTGTTGAGTGAGTTTTGAAGGAACCAACCACTGTTGGCTATTTCTAGGTAGCCCTTAGTAAGATGGATAGGTATTGTGTGTGTGTGTGTGTGTGTGTGTGTGTGTGTGTGTGTGTGTGTTTTCTGGTATTTTAAAAACATTTTAGGTTATACGTTGAGCAACATAAAGGCATACATACACAAATACTTGTGGAAGATCTTGGAAATATTTCATTAATTATAACTGAATCTAATTTGGGATTACCCAAGAAGATTAATGTTAGCATACACAAATGAAACCTGTATATATGTTTCTTTTGGCCTAAAACAGACTTATTTTCACACAAACCTTTTATAAAAGTTGCTTACACAGGTTTGGATTTTATTTCCACTTTGTCCACCTCTTTTAAGAGCTAAAAGATACTGGAAGAATGTGTAAAAGTGAAAAGGTAGTTTTATATTTATATTTCCTCAATCTTTCATATTTTAACTGTTTGATAAATTATTAGGTGAACTGATTCTAACTTGTTCTTTCATCAATGAACAATCCAAATACAACTCCAAAATTTCACTCATTTAAGCTTCCTCACCTTGCAGGGGTGGGGTAGTTGGGGCAGGGTGGAGGAGTCTGGATTATGCCTTTATTTAAGGAAGTTACCTAGGGTGATTTGTGATCATATTCTCTAAAACACGGTGGCCCAGTCCCCTTTGTTTTCCTTCCTGAAAGCACCGTAGTTCTTCATATCAGCGTGAATCATACTGATTGAATCTGCTTACTTTTTGGGAAGATGGGAGACAAGTTTGCAGTAAAGATGGTGCTAGTAGCACACTCCCCTCTACGTCCTTCTCAGTATGCTGATAGAGGCAACAAAGCTGTGGCTTTGAGAACAACATTTGTGTTCATTGTTGTCTGTTGCTGCTGCTCCCAAGCGAGGTGCCAGAGTCCTGCACACCAGGCATCCGCTTCTGCTGTCTGTCTGCTCCTATCCAAAGCTGCCTGCCTCCCTGACTGTGGGGAGAACATCCATCGTCTAGCCACTTATTTTGGCCCCTAAACACAAGATTGCTTAGCACTTTTGTGGGCATAATTACATTCTAACACTATCATCTATGGAATTTTGGGAGGGAAGGGCAGGTCTGACTTCCCTTTGCCATAGGTACTCCAGGCCTCCCCACCTTGTGCCCTGGTACCCTCTACCCAGCTGCATTAATGAGGTTGCTTCTCCTCTGGCTTCTCTGTGCTTAGCCTCAGATACCATTCACCCTTCAGGACCTGTCAGCTGCCTATCCTGCTTCCCCTTTCTATCCTCACCTGAACTCTTGAACTGTTTGATAGCTGATTAGTACCAAGCAATTACTACCGTATTAAACATAACATATTAGAAATAGTAGCTAGGGTCTGTTTTGAATGTTTTGAATTCCTTTCCCAATTTACCTTGTTTACTTGATGAAGGAGGAATTATGGAAAAGAATCCCCAAGATTAGGATTAAGTTAATATCATATAGTAAGTGACAGAACTGATTGGGCCCTTCCAGAGCCCTTGCTCTTAATTCCTACATAATATTGCTCACATGTATAACATGTATGAATTGATATTAGGGGTTTCTTATATTTTTAATATTAAGCTAATTCAAGGAGACTTAACACATACTATTGACAACTGTCTATAGCTTAATGGAGATGCTTTATGAGGGTAGAAATGATAGATACATTAAAATTAAGACTTGGAAAGTTTTGCAGATAGGTGAAGGTGAGAGATAAGAGTTAGGATGCAGGTGTGGGAGTCAGGAAATTTGTATCTAAATCTGATTTCAAAAGGGGAAATATGATAAATTATGTTTTCTCGTCAGTGTACATATGCCTCTCTCTGAGACTGATTTTCCTTTTCCTTCTATGTTATTTGAGCACTAGATTTGAATTTTACTTTGTGTAAAAATGTGTCAAAGACTTTGTCTTTTAATAATTTCATGAATACCAGGCTTTAATACAAACTTATCTTTTAAAAGTGTTTTTATTGATTTCAGAAAGGAAGGGAGAGGGATAGAGAGATAAAAACATCAATGATGTTGATCAGCTGCCTCCTGCATGCCCCCCACTGGGGATAGAGCCTGCAACCGGGGCATGTGCCTTGATCAGAATTGAACGTGGGACCCTTCAATACTCAGGCTGATGCTCTATCCACTGAGCCAAAGTAGCTAGGCCTTAATATAATTTAATATAAGTTAGTTTTTGACATTGAGAACTCAAATACTTATCAAGAAATAGTTTAGAAAACACTCAAAAGTCACTAATCTACCTCTAGAGGTATTGAGATTCTATTTAAAAAATTTACTGAAGTATGAAACATTCTTGGCAATTTAATCATCTTGCTTCTTTCTAGTAGCTTCTTTTGCTGCACTTGCTACATAATAGCAATGGTGTGTCCTAGAATTTGTTAACCTTTCCTTGCAAATCAAGCAGTCTCTGCAGAATTTCTCTCTTAAGCTATGGTATATTTGGTTGCTGATGAGACCCTTATTGTCAAAATGTACCTGGAAACGTTTTGTTATTGGTAAGGCCAAAATGAAAGAGGTTCTTTTTAAGTAGCACTGCTTATTTTTATATGTATGGTTACAATGTGCTCTTTAGTTATTGCTTCTTGGGCATTAGAGCATTACTTATTTGCCTGGCCTAATTTTCTTAGTTCAGAGAATGCACTTAGTGGAGCCTTGTATATGGCTAAGATGTTATATTTTTTAGCTATCTATTTCTCATCTGGGAAATATAAATGTGTGGTTTGTAGCTGAAACAAGATCTTAAAGAGTTGCCGAAAAGCAACCAAATGATTAACTTTTTAAAGTATATCTCCCTCCTTACTAACTATGTTTGCTTATTTACTTATTTTTACCAGAAATGTTGAAAATAGAAATAGGTTACCTTAAAATGTTTTATATTAATGAACTGATCAGCTATTTGAAATTGTAATAGCCGCCGCACATCCCAGCCAGCCCAAAGGTGCTGCCGTTCCTTTGCCCAGGACCTTACCAAAATGCCATTTCAAATAGAACACTCGGTGGGAACCATGATGTTTACCTTTCACAAATTTCCTGGGAATAAGGGCCCTTTAACAAATAAGGACCGGAGAATACTTGTGAGAAAGGAGTTCCCCGGGTTTTTGGAAAATCTAAAGTCCATGAGGCTGTGGACAGACTAATGAAGGACATGGACCAGTGCCGAGATGGCAGAGTGGCTTCCAGAGCTTCTCTTAAGTGCTTGGCCCGCCATCGTTGCAGTGACTGTCTATAGTACACATGAAGCAGAAGGGAAAGAAGCAGGCAGCACTGAGCAGTTCTCCGCTCTGATAAGAGTTCTCCCAATGGGTTGTTTAAGGAATCTGCCCCACAGCTTCCCCTTGTATAAGGCTTTAATGAGCAGATTGGGATCCTTAGGAATCTATACTAATACATATAAAAGGCTAATATGCTAAGTTTCTGACCTCGACTATTCGACCAGTAGTTATGCTGTGCACTGACTACCAGGGGGCAGATGCCCAATGCACAGGCATGGAAACATGGAACAGACTGATGAATCTCAGAGGGAACGGGGAGGGCGGGAAGAGATTAACCAAAGATCTTATTTGCATACTAGAGGCCTGGTGCATGGATTCAGGTACCAGTGGGGTCCCTTGGCCTGGCCTGCGGGGATGGGGCTGAAACTGGCAATCTGACATCCCCCTAGGGGTCCCGGATTGTGAGAGGGTGCAGGTCAGGCCGAGGGATCCCACTGGTATATGAATCCGTGCACCAGGCCTCTAGTGTACAAATAAAATCCCACTTCATTTGACAAGAGAAAGAAAAGCCACTTAAAGCTAGAGAAGCTTTTGATTTTTATATTGCTTGCATCCTCTTGGCCTCAGTAAACACATTTTTTTATTTCCTAAAATGAAAAATAAAATAATTGTAATTGTATATATATATGTATATATATATATATGTATGTATATGTATATGTATATGTATATATGTATGTATATATGTATGTATGTATGTTTAAACACTATCAGGAACCCTGGCTGGATAGCTTAATTGGTTAGAGCATCTTTCAATTCACCAAGGTTGTGGGCTCAATCCCTAGTTGGTGCGATATAGGAATCAACCAATGAATGCATACATAAATGGAACAACAAATTGAAGTTTCTCCCCTTCCCTACCCTTCTCTCCCCTCTTCTCCCCTTTCGTTCTCAATAAACATATATATATATTGGGAAAAGGATTTTTTCAAGCAGAGGAGTTGAAATCCTAAGTAAAAATCACTAAGTTTTTTAATTAAACTGATTTCATGTTCCATTTCTTAACAAATCACCTATTTTTATTTTTATTTATTTTTTTAAAAATATATTTTATTGATTTTGTATAGAGAAGAAGGGAGAGAGATAGAGAGTCAGAAACATCGATGAGAGAGAGTCATCAATCAGCTGCCTCCTGCACACCCCCTACTGGAGATATGCCCGCGACCAAGGTACATGCTCCCGACCGGAATCGAACCCGGGACCCTTCAGTCCCCAAGCCGATGCTCTATCCATTGAGCCAAACCAGTCTCGGCCAGAATCACCTATTTTTATGCATCATATGTTACATTTATTTATTTAACATTTTAAAAGCAATATTTAAAACAATTATTCATGATTTGACTATAACCAGCAACAATCTTACAATTATTGTGGAGCAATAAGTGATGGCAACGGATTCTCTAATTTTATTTCGATCTTCCTTTGCTGATTCTGGACGAACAATTTTACCAAGAGTAATGCTGCATGTAGCTAGTGAGGATTATAGCCAAGGAGATGAAAATATTTGATAATCATCAATAATTGTCAAATTGATTGCCTAATTTGGACTTAAACATTAGGAAGTCATAATTCGCAATTAGGATTTTGCAAATTCTGAGTTTCATTATAAATGGAAACTTAAGAACCATGTAGTGGCTTTTTGAAGCTTGTGCTCAGAAGTCACACAAGTAATTTGCACTTGCATGTTATTGGCTAAACGAGTTATATGGCCAGGTAGTCCTTATTGGGGCCCAAGTGAACGAGGGCAGTGAATATTTTCATAATAATATGACCTGCCATTGTGCCTTTGCACATTCCTTTTTTTTTTAATTGTGGCAAAAATACAACATGAAATGTATCATCTTAACCATTTTTCCTTTTCTTTTTTAAAAAAAATTATTTTATTGATTTTTTACAGACAGGACGAGAGAGGGACAGTTAGTTAGAAACATTGATGAGAGAGAAACATCGATCAGCTGCCTCCTGCTCGCCCCCTACTGGGGATGTGCCCGCAACCAAGGTACATGCCCTTGACTGGAATGGAACTCGGGACCCCTTAGTCAGCTGATGCTCTATCCACTGAGCCAAACCGGTTTCGGCAATCTTAACCATTTTTCAGTGTTAACTATCGATATAATATATATTGTTGTGCAGTAGATCTCTAAAACTTTTTATCCTGTAAAACTGCAACATCGTACCCACTGAACTCTTTTCTCCCTGCCCACAACCCCTGGCAACCACTATTCCACTTCCTGTTTCTAAAAGTTTGACTACTTTAGCTATGCCATGTAAGTGGAATCATGTAAAATTTGTTTTTTTGTGACTGGCTTATTTACCTGAGCATAATGTCAAGGTTCATCTATTTTTTAACATGTGGTGGGATTGACTTTTTTAAGACTGAATCCCATTGTATATACCACAGTTATCCATTCATCTGTCAGTACACACTTAGGTTGCTTCCACCTCTTGGCTGTGGTGGAAATAGATTTTAATGTCTAAAGAAATTTTAAAACATGATTTATTCTGTAAGGTCATCCATGTTGTAATTGAGCTTTTCAAGTAAATGTTTATAAAGTGTAATTCATGGATCTGGAGAGCATTATGCATGCTAAGTGAAATAAGGCAGTAAGAGAAAGAAAAATACCATATGATTCCATTCATATGTGGTCCAAGATGGCTGCCTCCATGTGGACACAAGATAGCTGCCACAATATGGCCTGCAGGGGAGGGCAGTTGTGGGTGATCAGGCCAGCAGGGGAGGACAGTTGGGAGGCACCAGGCCTACAGGGAAAATAGTTGGGGGGACCAGGCCTGCAGGGAGGGTAGTTGCGGGGACCAGGCCTGCAGGAAGGGTAGTTGCAGGGACCAGGCCTGCAGGGAGGGTAGTTGGGGGGACCAGGCCAGCAGGGGATGGCAGCTGGGGGGGACCAGGCCTCAGGGGAGGACAGGAGCAATCAGGCTGGCAGGGGAGTGGTTAGGGGGTGACCAGGCAGGCAGACAGAAGCAGTTAGGGGCAATCAGGCAGGGAGGTAGGCAGGCGAGTGGTTGGGAGCCAGCAGTCCTGGGATTGTGAGAGGGATTGGTGGGATCGGACCCAAATGGGCAGTCAGACATCTCTCAAGGGGTTCCAGATTGGAGAGGGTGCAGGTGGGGCTGAGGGACATCCCCTGCGCGAGTGCCCCCTCCCTCGCCTGAATTTCGTGCACCAGGCCCCTAGTTTAAGTTTACTTATTTTCAAATTTGCTAACTTATTTCTTTTTGCCCTTTCAAATCTGCCATTAGTGATTTCTAGTCAAAATTTTCATTTTAGTTATTGTACTTTTTAGTTCCAGAATTTCTACTTAAAAAGATAATTTTTGTTTCTTTATTGATATTCTCTATTTGTTGAAAGAGTGTTCTGATTTCTTGTTATTCCTTGTCCATTTAAAGTTTTTCTCTAGTAACACCAATGTCTATTTCTATTTTCCCCTCTATAAGGACCATGCTTTCTTTCTTTTTTTTGCATGCTTTATAATATTTTGTTGAAAACTGGATGTTTTAAATTTTATAACGTGGTATCTCTTAAAATCAGATTATTTTCTCTCAGTTTCTTTTGTTGTTTGCTGTGGATTCTAGTTGTCTGTCTGGCAAGTTTTCTGGACTGTTTTTGAAAACTATTTTGTTATGTTTGTTCTTTAAAGTTTGTTTCTTTAGCTTGTGATCAGCTCATCTTTTGACAGATCTCCTTAAAAGCCTGGAGCCAAAAAAAAGGAAAAAAACTTGTAATTGTTGCAGAATGGCTCTGTATCAGCTCTTTTTCAAGGCTGAGCCACATTGTTCACAACTCTGCCTCAGTCTTCATTTCCTGCTTGTGTTGAGCCTAACATCAGCCAAAGGTGAAAGCTTCGCGCCTTTTTAGGCATGCTTCCCACCCTGGGCAAGTGTGTGGCTTTCCAAATTCTGGACATGCTTCCCACCCTGGGCTTTCTAAATTCCGCTCTTTAGGACTCAAGGGCACTTTCCAATGCCCCAGTTTCCCAAAGAACCTCTCCCCAGTGTTTCCTCCCAGGCTTTGGCATATTTGTTTGCCTCAGTTGAATTGTTTTGCCCCAGGTGGCAGCACATTGTCATTGGTCTCACAGAGGTTTTGAATAACACTGTTATACCCCAGAGAGTTCTAAGTTAGAATAAAGACCTTGCCTCAGTCCTTCAGGTCAAACAGACACAATTCTTTCATAATAATGTCTGCTGGGCTCTCTGGAGCCAGGGACTAAGTTCCCGTACTGAGAATGAAGGCTGCTGTCTTCAAGACCACTGCGTAGTAAGAAAAGGGCAAGGGCAAGTACAAAATGCTATAAAGCTTTCCTGCTATTTCACGTTGCCTTTTTCTGGACTCAGTGTTCGCTGAGTGGCTGTGATTTCCTGGAGTTGTGCAGCTGATTGTGACAGCTCGATTTTTCAGTGATCTGGAGAGGGATGGGTCCTTGAAACTATCCACTCTACAATTTTTGGTGATGTCACTCTAGAAGGAGTTTAAAAAATAATTTATTATGATATTTTGCTATAATGAGTGGAGTCCAAGAAATATAATAATGTTTATACAAATTGTTTACAGGATGGGATTCGACGTGGTAGACCCAGAGCAGATACTGTCCGGGATTTAATAAATGAAGGAGAGCATTCGTCCAGCAGAATTCGTTGTAACATCTGTAATAGGGTGTTTCCACGGGAGAAATCGCTTCAGGCTCACAAAAGGACTCATACAGGTAGGTTGAGCAAATTTTAGAGAATGTCAAAAATAATACCCAACTGAAAGCAGATTTGATGTTTGGGCTTATAAATTAATTTTTTTCAGTTGCCTTATATTTTCTCATTGTAGTTTTTTTTTTTAAACAGGCACTGTGTATGTTATAGGTCCAAGGTGTGTGGGTCTGATACTTCAAAAGAAAGGCCAATATTCAATGGATCAGAGTTTTGAAGTAAGGAAAGGTTTATTCGAGAAAGCCTGGCTTGAGAAGATGAACTAATTATCAAATCCATTTTAAGAAGAATCTGGAATTCCCTTCTATTATTAAGGGAAGGGAGGAGGGGCAAGACAAGGGTGGGTGTAGGCAGGTAGATGTTGAAAGGGAACAAGGAAGAGTAAAATTTCCCAATCCCTTTGTTCCCTGTTGGTCCTGGTCCATTAACACCCACCCCTCCACCACCCCACTGATCTGAACTCTGAGTCCAGTTGTGGAGGCTCCTGTGAATTGTACATATTTCCTACCTCTTGGGGGGGGGGGGTTGGGGAAGCACACTTGCAAAAAGGGGCTGCTTTTGCAAAAGCTCTAGCTCAGTTGGTTAGAGCATAGTCCTCATCGCTATGCCAAGGTTGTGGGTTTGGTTGCCGGTCAGGGCATGTACAAGAATCAACCAATGAATGCATAAATAAGCGGAGCAACAATGTTTCTCTTTCTCGCAAATCAATAAATAAAAGTTAAAAAAGAAACAACCCAAAACCGCAAGCAGAATTTCTCTAGTTAATTGTCTTATCTGAAGGCCAAAAGAGAAAGGAATCATTTCACTGTTACAGGTAGTCAGTTTATTGTTTGGTGGAAAGTGATGGCTTTCTGAACCAGGTGACTTCTAAAGTTATAGGGCAATTAATATAGTAGTCAGAGGAATGTTATTACTATATTTAGTGTTATCTTTCTACCTATTTGAGTTTTACTTGATAGGCCCTTGTCTGTATAATTGTTTAAACTAATTTGTAGGCCATATACTAAAATAGTAATTGCCAAATTTTTAATAAAATTTCCAGAGCCCTCAGTATGCCATGCAAGTGTTTGACCTAGCCATTAAATCCAAGGAGAAGCATAACTTTTCAGAATTAATGTATTATAGGCAGCAGTTTCAAGACTAACACATCCTATTTGTGTAGAGGAATGATACTTGCATTTAAAATACCAGATAGAGAGCAAAAAATATAGCATCCTTGCTCTTTCCACAGAGAAAGGAGGCCTCAGAAGGAGCCTTATGGTTCTAGCATGTTATCTAATAGTTCACAGTTGAGCAGACTGAGGTACCAAAAAGCAAATACCACTGCTTACACCCTCGCCTGTGCTGCAGTCGGAGTTCTGTTGGCCCCTGGAGTAGTACATGTGCCTCGTCTAAACTGAGATGGGCAGTGTGTGTGAAGTACACTTGAATGAAAAAAAGAGAATAAATGATGTCCTTAATAATTTCTGATACTGAAATGATACATACTGAAATGATAATATATTACATATAGTGGGCTAAATTAAATATACTATCATAATTAATTTTACCTGTTTTTCCTTCCTTTTTAATGTGGTACCAGAAGTAGTTTATACTTTATTTGTGTTGGGCACTACTGGTCTGACATTTGGGTTTTTAACTCTTAGTCCCCTATTTTCCCACTGTTTTTATGGTCATCACCTACTTTTTTAGATTTTGAAAAGATGTATTTAATGTTACACCAGAATACAGCTAAATCCTTTGCTAAATTCCTGAAAAAGGATACAATTTAAATTTTGAATCATAAGCTATGGTGTCCCAAGAAATTTTGACTATGAACCATTCAGTAAAATAAGTATCTGATTTTGAGATTTAAAAAAAAAATTTTTTCACTTGAAGATGTTTTCATTGATTTTTTTTTTTTTTTTTAAGAGGGGGGAAAAAAGGGACAGGTGAGAGAAGTGTGAGAGAAGAGAGAGAAATATTGATGTGAGAGAGAAACATTGATCTGTTGCTTCCCATATGTGCCCTACTCGTGACAACCCAAAATTTAGGTATGTGGCCTGACTCCCAACCTTTTGGTGTATGGGACAATGCTCCACCAACTAAGCCACCAGAAGGTAGTTGTTATGACAAAATTCTGCACTGGCCAGGGCAGCATTTTTGTATTTTTAAAAAACCTGAAAAATGGTGGCAGGGTAGGAGGATGCTGCACGGACATGTCTCCCAGGAACAAGTTGGAATTAAAACAAATACGGAAAGGCTTCCAGAATAATCAAACTCACAGGAGAGAACCCTGATACCCAAGGACCGAAGGTGGAGACCGAACAGAGACTGGTAGAAAGGGTGGAGGGGTGAAAGGGCTGGCCCCCACAGATGGTAACTGAAGTCCTGGAGAACTATTTCAACTGGGGCGGGGAGCCACTGAGAACTCTGGGATCTCATCCTGAAGTTTGGCTCCCCAGCAGAGAGCACCAAACTGAGGAGGGTACTCATATAACAACTAGCTGTGAAAAGCAATGGGGTGCTGTTTGTTTGTCAGGGAGTGGCAGCTGAAAGTTTGGGCACCCTCTTAAAGGGCCAGTGCACAAAAATTCCCTATGGAGCTACCCACCTTGTGCTCTGGCAGAAGGAGAGTGAAGTGGACTCCTGTCAGAGCAGAAGCCAGGCCTGGGGACTCAGGGGTAGAGCTCAAGAAGGCAGATAACCCAAGTTTCCTGGGCTGAGGCATTCCCTCACATAGCAGAGGACATCTTTCCCACAAAGACATATGCCTCTCCTATGGAGAAGACAGTCAACACACCCTATTGAAAAACTCCTTGCCCCGAGGCCACTTAAGAGACTAAAAGTAACAATTAGCCTCACCCTGTTGAAAAAAACTTTCTGCTATACCTGAGGACAATTGCCTGGGGGCAATCAGACTCCCATTAGTCTATAGACAGGTGGTCTCTGGAATCTTTAAGTCTTTGCCTGGTCCAATTAGTCAGAAACAGCTTTTAACACTGTCCTGCACTAGAGATTGAGAGGTATAGAGGATCTACCTAATACATACTCACAAACCCAGAAAAACAAAATGAAGAAACAAAGAAACAACTCCCAAATGAAAGAGCTTTCGAATTCTCCAGAAGAAGAGATAAATGAAGTAGAGATAAGAAATTTATCGGAAACAGAGTTCAAAGTAATGATGTTAAAAATACTCAACAGTATGAAAAAAGATACAGTAACTGAAAAAAGAACAATCTGACATAAAGAATGACAACACAAATAAAGAACACATTGGGAGGAATACACAGCAGATTAGGGGAAACTGAGTATCAGTGAATTCTAATCAGTGAATTAGAAGACAGAATTGAAAATATCACTCAATTAGAGAACCAAAAAACAATTAAAAAACAGAAGGACAAATGACACATATGTAATACCTTAATAAAGAAATAACAAAACAAAAAAACAGGAGAATAGCTTAAGGGAGCTGTGAGACAATGTGAAACCTAACAATATTAGAATAGCAGATGTGCCAGAAGAGGCAGAAAAAGAGAAAGGAATATGAAAAGTGTTTGAAGAAATAATGGTAGAAAACTTCCCTAACCTCATAAAGGAAAAAATCATATAAGTTCAGGAGGCACAGAGAACCCCAAACAAGAAGAACCCAAATAGACCCACATCCAGACACATCATAATTAAAATGTCAAAAATTAAAGACAAAGAATATTAAAGGCTGCAAGAGAAAAGAAAACTGTTACCTACAAAGGAGTTACTATAAGGCTGACACCTGGTTTCTCCTCAGAAACTCTACAGGCCAGAAGGGAATGGCATGAGGTCCTAAAGGAAATATAAAGCAAGAATCTGAGACCAAGATTACTATGTCCAGCAAGGCTATCATTCAAAATAGATGGCTAAATAAAGAGCTTCCCAGACAAACAAAGGCTAAAGGAGTTCATCATCACCAAGCCAGTTTACAAGAAATACTTCAGGATTGCTGAGAAGAAACAGAGAGAAACTTAGCCATACAGAATTAAAATGGCTATACACTGAGTGGCCAGATTATTATGACCAGCTGATGTTTGTAGGCAAATTAGCCATAAACTCCATCGTATGGGATATGGAATCTGAAGGCCTGTTCAAACACCTTTGCTGTCTACAGTTACCAAGATAAAACATCTCCAATTCGTACAGGAACGTGAGGATTGGACAGTCGAGAATTGGAAAAAAGTCATGTGGTCCAATGAATCACATTTCCAATTGCATCATGCAGATGGCAGAGTGAGAATTTTGCGGAAACAGCATGAAAGTATGCACCCCCACATGCATGAGTACAACCCTTCAAGCGGGTGGAGGCAGTGTTATGGTTTGGGGCATGTTTTCCTGGAATGATCTAGGCCTTTTAATTTGTGTGGAACAATGTTTGAATAGCACAACATACCTAAGTATCGTTGCTAATCAAGTTCATCCTATCATGTTGATAGCGTATCCCAGTGGTCGGCAAACCTCATTAGTCAACAGAGCCAAATACCAATAGTACAGCGATTGAAATTTCTTTTGAGAACCCAATTTTTTAAAACTTCACCTTCTTCTAACGCCACTTCTTCAAAATAGACTCACCCAGGCCATGGTATTTTGTGGAAGAGCCACACTCAAGGGGCTAAAGAGCTGCATGTGGCTCGAGAGCAGCAATTTGCCGATTGTGGGCGTATCACAATGGAGATGGCTTCTTCTAACAAGACAGTGCTCCATATTATGGTGCTCATATTGTGTAGGAGTGGTTTCAAGAACATGAGGGAGACTTTACCTTAGGTGACCACAATCACCAGATCTCAATCCAATTGAGCATTTGTGGGACGAAGTTAAAAGAGCCATTAGGCAGCTGGTTCCACAACCATCAAACACTGGACAGTGCTATTCATTAGGCATGGTGTCAGATTCCTCGCATCACCTTTCAACATCTGGTGGAGTCAATGCTAAGAAGAATCGCCACAGTATTGAAGGCAAAAGATGGCCTAGCAAATTTTTGATGTGGTGGTTATAGTATTCTGCCACTCAGTATATGTAAATGTATATATATATGTATATGCATGTATATATATATGTGTGTGTGTGTGTGTGTGTGTGTGTGTGTGTGTGTGTGTGTGTGTTTGTGTGTGTATATATATGAGGCCCGATGCATGAATTTGTGCATGGGTGAGGTCTGGCCAGCATGGCCAGAGAGAGGGGACATGGGCAGTTGGCCAGCCTGCCTGCTGGTCGAACTCCTGTTGGAGGGGACAATTGGCATATTAGCCTTTGATTATACAGGATATACACTGGGTGGCCAGATTAGACATTATTCAGAGACCATAATGATTTGGCCACTCAGAATAAATAAATACCTCTCAATAACAATCCTAAATGTATATGGATTAATGCTCCAATCAAAAGGTGTAGAGTAGCTGAATGGATACAAAAATATTATCCCACTATATGCTGTCTACACCTCAAAACCCACCTCAAAACAAAAGAGACACACAGGATGAAAATGTAAGGCTGGAAAAAAATGTTTCCATGCAAATGGAAAAGAAAAAGAAAATCTGGAGTAGCAATATTCATATCTGTGGACAGCTGCTTCAGACCATGGAGTGCTGTCTAGCATTTTCATTTGCAGTTCTGGATAGGCTGGCGTGTTTTGTTGTTTGGTGGCATGACCTTTATCGGGGTGGAGAACGTCTGGTTCCCAGGCTGTGTAAGGCCCCGAGAAATCATTTGGTCTGGTCCTGCCAAGGCAACCCAACGCAGAACTCAAAATTCAATAAATCTAGGAGCTTTTTTCATAACGACATAAATTTATATTATGTGAATGATATTATAAATAACCAAATGGCCTTTGGCAGAAAAAAGGTTCCCCACCTCTTATCTATATAAAGGTTGTTTCTCACCCCCTGCCCCTTATTCTTTTTTTCCCCTCATTTTTTTTTATTAAGGTATCATATGTGTATATATCTTACCATTGCTCCCCCCCTCACCCCACGCCCCTTCTTCTAACCTTATTTTCTCAGAAATAATATATCACATTTCTTTATAGGTGAGAGACCCTACCTGTGTGACTATCCAGACTGTGGCAAAGCATTTGTTCAAAGTGGACAGCTCAAAACGCATCAGCGCCTTCACACGGGAGAAAAACCTTTTGTTTGTTCAGAAAATGGTATGATGTTAGGAGTTAAGTTTATGTAATAATTAGTAGTGAGTTAGTAGTTAGAAAATAAAATTTGCTTGAATTTTGGGGGGAGGAGATTTTTTATTTTTAAATTCAGATTTAGAAAACACCATGTTTAATTTCTAGGGATAGATTTATTTTTAAAATATTATTTTTAGGTGAAAATCTTAAAAAGCAAATAATCCATATTCAGTTGAAGGCAATAGAAAAATATATGAAAGTAAATACTGCCTTTAGAGTAAGCTTTTACTTTGATTTTAAACACTTTACCTATTAAATTCAAGAAAGCATTTTCAGTGAAGGGGAAACTCCCGTCTTAACATGCCACTCACTGTTAGTAATTGCGTATCACTTTTCTGAAGTGATTTTCTTTTTTTTTTTTCTCTAAAAAATATATTTTATTGATTTTTTACAGAGAGGAAGGGAGAGGGAGAGAGAGTTAGAAACGTTGATGAGAGAGAAACATTGACCAGCTGCTTCCTGCATACCCTCCACCAGGGATGTGCCCGCAACCAATGTACATGCCCTTGACTGGAATTGAACCTGGGACCTTCCAGTCTGCAGACCGACGCTCTACCACTGAGCCAAACCGGTTTTGGCTGAAGTGATTTTCTTAATCTCTTATCACAGTTTCTTAAGATGTTTTTCTTGTGCATATTTTTATGCAGTTACAAAAATGCAATGCAGTTTCGTTTTGTAGCTCTATAGTTTTATTATTGTCAGTTATAGGTGTCTTCAGGCTTTTTCACCTAGTGAATTTGCTGAAGCATATACTAATTATATCTGTATTTCTGCCCTAACCCCTACATTGTTCAAGAGTCAGCTGTAAACACTGATTGCCTTATTGTTTAATATTGAATATTTAATTTGTTTTAAAAATTGTTTGTTACCAACAAAGCTAAAGGTCATGTTTTCCTACTTAAACTTTGTTAAAACTTTGTTCATCTTTGGGGATGTTGCCTTATGAGAGAGCCTGAGAATAGACTCCCAGGGTCAGAGGATTTGACCATATTTATGACTCATGCAAATGAGTCACTTCCCAGTGGGGTTGCATGCATTTATAACGCAATGACCAAGATATGAAACACTAGCGCCCGTTCCCCTCAAGAGCATTGATAAAATACTGTGCTTAGGGTTTTATTCCTCCCCGTTATAGAATGCTGTCTCAATGTCTTTCTTAGTTTCCTGGTTACCAGTGAAACAACGTTTCCCATGTCTGCCGCAGATCCCAGTTCTAATGAGCGTCCCCCTCTGCTTTGTAGGCTGTCTGAGCAGATTCACCCACGCCAACCGCCATTGTCCCAAGCACCCTTATGCCAGGCTGAAGCGGGAGGAGCCCACCGATGCTCTCACCAAGCACCAGGCTGTGGACAACCAGGCCGCTGCCGAGTGGCTGGCAAAGTAAGGCTCTCCCTGGACCACTGCCACCCCGCGCGTGGGCTGCTGTGGGGACTTCCGAAATTCTCTCATTTTAAATAAGTTACTTCTGTACACGTTTTATGAAGTAACTTGAAATGCTGCTTCTTTTGTTAAGCCACAGAATTGTTAGGAGTGTTATTAGGATTGTGTATGATAGAAAACTGTATGATATTCATTAGTCTTGAGTGCCCATACCACAATTTATTTTGAAAACAAGAGTTTTCCCTCATTTAAAAAGAATATTTAACGCACATTTCATTTGTGTTTAGTGCACCCCTCTACATTTTCTTATATTAGAATTAGATTTGTGCTGATTATTATGGGGATAAAGGTAATATCCATATTTCCCCATATCTATAGCTACAGATATAGTATGTGGATAGAGCTCTAAATAAAGAGATGTTTCTAGAATCACCCAGTTTAATTTTTTTAAATAAGTTTCTTTATTGATTAAGGTATTACATATGTGTCCTTATTCCTCCATTACTCCACAATCCCTCCCCCCCCCCCATTCATGCCCTCACCCCCTTGGTGTCTGTATCCATTGATTAGGCCCATATGCATGCATATAAGTCCTTTTGTTGATCTCACCCCGTTATCCCCACCTTCCCCTACCTTCCTTCCGAGGTTTGATGGTATGATCAATGTTTCTCTGTCTCTGGAACTGTTTTTGTTCATCATTTTATTTTCATTATATTCCACAAATGAGTGAGATCATGTAATACTTATCTTTCTCTGACTGGCTTATTTCACTTAGCATAATGCTCTCCAGTTCCATCCATGTTGTTGCAAATGGTAGGAATTCCTTCTTTTTTAGTGTAGCATTGTGTAGATGTACCACAATTTTTTAATCTACTCATCTGCTAATGGGCACTTAAGCTGTTTCCAAATCTTAGCTATTGTAAATTGTGCTGCTTTGAACATAGGGGTGCATATGTCCTTTCTGATCAGTGTTTCTAGTGTCTTGGGATATATTCCTAGAAGTGATATTACTGGGTCAAATGGGAATTCCATTTTTAGATTTTTGAGGAAATCCCATACTGTTTTGCAAAGTGGCTGCACCAATCTGCATTCCCACCAGCAGTGCAAGAGGTTCCTTTTTCTCCGCATCCTCGCCAACATTTGTCATATATTGATTTGTTGATGATAGCATTCTGACAGGTGTGAGATGGTACCTCACTGTTATTTTAATTTGCATCTCTCAGATGATTAATGACTTTGAGCATGTTTTCATGTTTCTTGGCCTTTCTTCTATCTTCTTTCGAAAAGTTTCTATTCAGGTCCGTTGCCCATTTCTTGATTGGATTGTTTATCTTCCTTTTGTTGAGTTGTGAGTTCCCAGTAAATGTTGATTAAACGCTTGTCAGTGATAACACTGGCAAATATGTTCTCCCCTGTAGTGGTCTTTCTTGTTGTTTTGTTGATGGTTTCTTTTGCTGTGCAAAAGCTTTTTATTTTGATGTAGTCCCATTTGTTTATTTTATGTTTATTTTTCATTGCCTCGATAGCAGTATCAGTGAAGAAGTTCCATCAGTATATGTCTGAGATTTTGCTGCCTGTGGATTCCTCTAGTATTTTTAAGGTTTCCCATCTTATGTTTAAGTCCTTTATCCATTTTGAGTTTCTTTTTGTGTATGGTGTAAGTTGGTGGTCTACTTTCATATTTTTGCATGTTATCTGTCCAATTTTCCCAACACCATTTATTGAAAAGACTGTCTTGACTCCATTGTATGTTCATGCCTCCTTTGTCCAATATTAATTGGGCATAGTGGTTTGAGTAGATTTCTGGGTTCTCTATTCTATTCCATTGATTTATATGTCTATTCTTGTGCCAGTACCAGGTTTTGAGAACAGTGGCTTTGTAATACAGCTTGAAATCTGGTATTGAGATCCCACCTACTTTGTTTTTCTTTCTTAGGATTGCTGCAGCTATTCGGGGTCTTTTTTTATTCCAGATGAGTTTTTGGAGAGTTCTTTCTAGGTCTGTGAAATATGCCTTTGGTATTTTAATGGGGAGTGCATTGAATCTATAGATTGCTTCAGGTAGAATGGACATTTTGATGATGTTGATTCTACCAATCCATGAACACGGTATGTTCTTCCATCTGTTTATATCTTTATCTCTTTTTTCAGTGTCTTGTATTTTTTTTGCATATAGGTCTTTTACCTCTTTAGTTAAGTTTATTCCCAGGTATCTTAATATTTTTGATACGATGGTAAATGGGATTGCTTTTTTAGTATCTTTCTGTAAGTTCAGTATTGGTGTATAGAAATGCAGTAGATTTCTTGGTGTTAATTTTGTATCCTGCTACCTTTCCGAATTCGTTTATTTTTTATTTTTTTATTTTTTTAAAAATAATACAGCCATTTAAAAAAAATTTTTTTTATTGATTTTTTTTTTTTTACAGAAAGGAAGGGAGAGAATTAGAAACATCGATGAGAGAGGAACATTGATTAGCTGTCTCTTGCACACCTTCTACTGGGGATGCGCCCACAACCATGGTACATGCCCTTGACCAGAATCGAACCCGGGACCCTTCAATCCGCAGGCCGATGCTCTATCCACTGAGCCGAACTGGTTTTGGCCGAATTCATTTATTAAGCCTAATAATTTTTTGATGGAGTCTTATGGCTTTCTATCATGTCATCTGCAAATAAGGATAGCTTTACTTCTTTTCCAATTTGGATGCCTTTTATTTCTTCTTGTCTGATAGCAATGGCTAGTACTTCCAGAACTATGTCAATCAGGGGTGGTGAGAGTGAGCATCTCTGTATTTTTCCTGATCTTAGGGGAAATGGCTTTAGTTTTTATTCATTTGTGTAATGCTGGCTGTGGATTTGTCATATATATCTTTTATGATGTTGAGGTATGATCCTTCTAATCCCACCTTGCTGAGAGATTTTATCAAGAAAGGGTGTTGGATTTTGTCAAATGCTTTTCTACGTCAATTGATGTGACTATGTCATTTATCCCCCTCAATTTGTTTATGTGATGTATCATGTTTACTGATTTGCAGATTTGTACCATCCTTGAATCCCTGGTATAAATCCTGCTTGGTCATGGTGTATGATCTTTCTGATGTTCTGCTGGAGCCGATTTGCTAGAATTTTGTTCAGGATTTTGGCATCTATATTCATGAGGGATATTGGCCTGTAATTCTCTTTCTTTGTGTTGTCTTTATCTGGTTTTGGTATTAAGGTGATGCTGGCTTCATAGAAGTTTGGAAGTGTTTCTTCCTCTTGACTTTTTTAGAATAATCTGAGTAGGATAGGTTTTAGTTTTTCCTTGAATGTTTGGTATAACTCTCCTTTGAAGCCGTCTGGGCTTGGGCTTTTGTTTGCTGGAAGCTTTTTGATGACTGCTTCAATTTCCTCCATAGTTATTGGCCTATTGAGATTTTTAGATTCTTCCTGATTGAGTTTTGGAAGGTTGTATTTTTCTAGAAATATGTCCATTTTCTTCAGGTTTTCTAGTTTGTTGGAATAGAGTTGTTCGTAGTATTTTTTTTTTTAACAATCCTTTGTATTTTTGTGGGGTCTGTTGTTATTTCGCCTCTCTCATTTCTGATTTTGTTTATTTGGATCCTCTCTCTTTGCTTCTTGGTGAGCCTGGCTAGAGGTTCACCAATCTTGTTTATCCTTTCAAAGAATCAGCTCTTGGTTTCATTGATCTTTTGAGTGTGTGTGGTTTTTTTGTTTGTTTGTTTTTGTCTCTGTGTCATTTATTTCTGCTCTAATCTTTATTATCTCCTTCCTTCTGCTCACTGTGGGCTTTTCTGTTGTTCTCTTTCTAATTTTTTTGAGTTGTAGTATTAGATGATTTACTACCATTTTTTTCTTGTTTTTTTGAGGTAAGCCTGTAGAGCTATAAACTTCCCTCTCAGCCGAAACCGGTTTGGCTCAGTGGGTAGAACGTCGGCTGTGGACTGAAAGGTCCCAGGTTCAATTCCGGTCAAGGTTATGTACCTTGATTGTGGGCACATCCCCAGTGGGGGGTGTGCAAGAGGCAGCTAATCAATGATGCTCTCTCATCGATGTTTCTAACTCTCTATCCCTCTCTCTCCCTCTCTGTAAAAAATCAATAAAATATAAAAAAAGATGAAATTTGATCATTTATTAAAAAAAAAAACAAAAAACTTCTCTCTCAGTACTGTTTTCATTGTGTCCCATAGATTTTGGATTATAATATTTTTATGGTCATTTAATTTCTTCTATGATCTCATTGGTAACCCAATCAATATTTAATGTTATTCAGCTTCCAAGTGTTTGAGTATTTTGGATTGTTTTTATTGTAGTTTATTTCTAATTCTATGGCATTGTGGTCTGAAAAGATGTTTGGTATGATTCAGTCTTCTTGAATTTGGGGAGACTTTGCTTGTGACCCAGTATGTGGTCTACTTTTTAAAATGTCCCATGTGCACTTGGGAAGAACGTATATTCTGCAGCTTTGGGGTGAAATGTTTTGAAGATATCAATTAAGTCCATCTGATCTAGTGAGTCATTTATGATTGTTGTCTCTTAGCTGATTTTTTTGTCTAGAGGATTTATCCAGTGATGTCAGTGGGGTATTAAAGTCCCCTACTATGATTTTATTGTTGTCGATCTCTCTCTTGATATCTTCCAGGAGATCTTTTATATATTTGTGTACTCCTGCATTGGGTGCATATATTTTTACCAGGGTTATATCCTCTTGTATTGATTCCTTATCTCTTGTAATGGCCTTCTCTTTGAAGTCTATTTTGTCACATCTAAGTATTGCTACCCCAGTTTTTCATTTCCATTTGCCTGGAAGATATTTTTCCATCCCTTCACTTTTAGTCTATGTTAGTCCCTTATTCTGAATTGGGTCTCTTGTAAACAGCATATATATATATATATATATATATATATATATATATATATATAATCATGTGTTTTTTTAATATTATTATCTGTGTACATATTTTAACATTGCCCCCCCCCCCCATACATACCCTCCATCCCCAGAGTTTTGTATCCATTGGTTGTACTTATATGCATGTATACAATATGGGTCATGTGTTTTTTTTTGTTTTTTTTTAATCCATTCAGCCACTTGATGTCTTTTGATTGGAACATTTAGTCTGTTTACATTTAAAGTTATTATTGAAAGGTACTTGTTTGTAGCCATTTTTATTTTTTGAGGCGGAGTTTCTTCTTACCTTTTTGTTTCTTCTTTCTACAGCATTCCATTTAGCATTTCTTGCATTGCTTGTTTAGTAGTGATAAACTCCCTTAGCCTTTTTTTTATTTTTTATTTTTTTGTCTGCAAAGTTCCTGATTTCCTCTTCAATTTCGATTGATAGTCTTGCTGGATAGAGTATTCTTGTATTGAGTCCCTTGCTTTGCATCACTTTGTGTTCTCCTTCCATTCCCTTTTAGCTTAATATGTTTTTGTTGAGAAATCATTTGATAATCTGATGGGGGATCTTTTGTAGTTAACTCTCTCCTTTAAGATTTTCTCTTTGTCGATTACATTTGCCATTGTAATTATGGCGTGTCTTGGTGTGGGTCTTTTGGGATTTATCTTGCTTAGGACTCTTTGTACTTGAGTAACTTTTTTCTTCCCCATATCAGGGAAGTTTTCTGTCATTATTTCTTCAAATTTTTTAGTCCTTGCTGCTCTTCTTGTCCTTCTGGCAGCCCTATTATACGTATTTTACTTTGTTTTGCATTGTCCCAAAGTTCCGTTAGGCTCTCCTCCTGCTTTTTAATTTTTTTTTTCTCTAGTTGCTTTTCAGATTGGGCTTGTTTCTGTACCTGATCTTCTAACTTGCTGATTCTATCCTCTGCTTCTTCAAGTCTACTTTTGAAGCCTTCCATGATGCTTTTGATTATTGCTATGTCATTTTTGATTTCTTCCTGATTTTTGCATAGGTTGTTGATTTTCTCGTCCATCTGGTGAATGAACTGTATGACTATTATTCTGAATTCTTTTTCTATCATGTTGCATGCTTCCGTTTCACTTATTTCTTTACTTGGTGATTCCTCCTTTTCTTTCCTCTGTGGATTGCTTTGTTGTCTCCCCATTTTGATTATCACCAGAAGGTTCAGATGTCCAGTTGCGGGGGCCTGGACCATGTGCAGAGGGAGTTTTGCACCCTCCAGGTGTCACTGAAGAATTCTGTTACCAAGATGTGCGGTTGCTGTGGGTTGGTGGGAGTCACGCTTGCCCCAGGTCAGAGTCACAGGCACTCTGTGTGGCCTCATGTATGCACTTAGAAGCAAGGACCCTGCCTGTGCCATGTTGAAACAGAGAACTCACTGGAATGTGCCAAAAATCAAAGTCCCCTATTGTGTGTCAGGAGTCAGAGGCTCCCTGTGTCCATGCCAAGAATTGAGTATCAGAGTCTCTGTTTCTTGGTGCTACTTCACACTGAGAATCAGGTCCCTGTGTGCACATGCACCAGTAATTGGAGTCACTGACTTTTAGTGTGAATGTACTGGGAATCAGGGATCTCAGGTTCATGTAATGAGGTACAGATGGTCAATACTTCCTCTTGAGTGAAGATTCAGGGTCCCCGATCTGCCCGGGAGATCGGGTTGCATAGCCACACTGTGTTGGCAGGAGTTCCACTTCTGCTCTGTGGTAAACAGCCTTCTGTGTTCATTTGCCCTGAATCAAAGTCAGATGGCACTGCGCCATAGTGTGGGGTGGAGTCTGGTAGCAGGCATGCACTGTCGGAAACAAACTCCCTGTGTCCATGTACCCAGGCTCAAATTCATCACTGCCTTCCTGGGTGGGCACAGGGTCTTGTCGTGGGGAACAAACTCCCCAAGTTGGCACATTCAGGTTCAAATTCACTGCAGTCTCTCTGCTAAGGGGCAGGGTCTGGTCATGGGAAATAAACTCCCGGGTTTACACCCCCAGGCTCAAATTCAGCGCTGTCTTACTGTGTGGGTGTAGCATCTGGTCATAGAAAATAGTCTCCCCAAGGACGAGAACCTATGCTCAAATTCAGGACTGTCTCACTGCCTGGGCATGGAGATGAGTTGTGGGAAACAAATTCCCCGAGTTCGCAAGTCTGGGCTCAAGTTCAACGCTGTCTCCCTGTCCTACATGGGCATGGGATCTGGTCATAAAAACTACTTCCCTAGGGATGAGCAGCTAGGCTCAAATTCCGCTCAGTCTTCTTCCTGGGCGCAGTGACTAGTCACAGGAAACAAACTTCCCATGTCTGACATCACGGCTCAAAGTCAGGCAGAGTTGCCCCTGCTTTGTGTGTGCAGAAAGCCTTATTGTGCAGCTGGGGTCTGGTAGTTTCTATGTCGCTGCTGCGGGGGTAGTGGGGGAGGGGGATTGGCTTTGACTCACAGAAATCTATGGCCAGGTGCCCAGGGTCCTGGTGTCCCTGGGTCTGCAGCTGTGGTGGCAGGTCTTCTACCAGAGTGGCTGTAGGGTCCCGGTTTGCTTCCGAGACCAGACTGTGTGGTGTTCTTAAATTTTTGAATAAGTTCTATGTGTTACAGATATTAATCTGTAAATCATATTTTGTAAGTTTTAAGTTTCTCATAGTTAACTCATTCAGAAGTCACCATCTCTCTGGATAGTATAAGTAGGATTTTTAATGTTTATTTGTTCTATTTATATACTTTAGTGCATTTGACATATATCTTTAAGGCATAGTTCAATGGCAGAAACACATGATTAGAGAGTTGAGTATGAGACCCAGAACTGCCAGTTTTTTAAAATCTGAGGAAGTCCCTCAACTTCTTGAACTTGAATTGTTTCCTCTGTAATGAGAAAGGTGTATAATAAACGTGAAATTATTTTGTAATTTTTGGAACTAAAACGCATTGAATACCATGGTAAAGAGCCGTTTTTTAAATAAGCAAAGTAAACCTTTGATGCTGTCCTTCATACCCTCTGATTCACGCGGTTGCATGTCCCGTAGGTATTGGGAAATGAAAGAGCAGCGCACCCCCACCTTGAAAGGAAAGCTCACGCAGAAGGCGGACCAGGAGCAGCAGGACCCTCTGGAATACCTGCAGTCGGACGAGGAGGACGACGAGAAGAGGGGGGCCCAGCGGCGGCTGCAGGAGCAGCGCGAGCGCCTGCACGGAGCCCTGGCCCTCATCGAGCTCGCCAACCTGACGGGCGCGCCGCTCCGCCAGTAGCCTGCACACTGACTCCCACTGTACAAAGTACTGCCCAGCATACTTCAGAAGTAGATCCTGGGGCATAAGCTAAGCACCTTATTTGCTTACCATAGGCTGCTATTCTGTAGAAATTGATGAAGAATGTCATTGCCCCAACATATGGGGTGAGAGAGAATTGCACTTTTTTTTATATGGTAATGGATTGTTGTAAAGTTTAAAATATTTTGTAAATATGGGACTTCTAGTACAGGGTAGGAAACTACGTATTGTGGGAAGCTAGATTTTGCAAGTTTAATGCATTCATTGGAAGCAGTTTTCACAGGAAGCACTTTCTGAATAAGACACTTTTAGGGAAAAAATAACAAAAACAGAATGGGACATGTAGCCAAAGAAGGTTAGGAGATATTATTTATAAGAACATTTTTAAACAACATGTACTAGTACGTTTAACAATACTGTCAACACTGAAGTAAGCGAGAAAGCGTAAGATGTGTGTAAGATGTTTTTAAATTGCAAAATAGTGTGACTAATAAGACTAGAGAAATGGAAATCTGCCTATTTCAGAAGATGTCCTAAGTTACGGATTTTGAAAGAAAAATAGATATTTGAGGATCTTGGTAGGATGCATAATATTTCAGAACTTTTAAAATTGGAGTAAAATTGGTCTTATTCTATCTTTCTGAGGCTTTACAACTTACTATGGTGTTTAGTTTTGAAAAGCACTTGTTATCCCTCTCTTAACTTGGGAACTTTTGCACATTTCATATTTCTCATTTGCTGAAACTGAGTGGTTAATCTTGCAAAGTCTAGGTAACCTGGTAATTTTTTTTTTTTTTAATAATATGGGCCCTGTACTAAGATTTGGCACTTGGATTTTTATTAATAAAAGGGACATCTACAGGGTTGTTTTGTAGTGACTTGTTTTAGATATTTTGTTAGCAAACACTAAATTTCCATTATACTGCTTGTTTAGAATTATTAGCAAATGAAAGCCTCCTATTTATATTTTCAGTGCATAAAGCCACCTTCTTGCTTTTCAGAATAACATGCCAAGCTATTTTGTGCTCACTAAATTCAACAGTAAAACACTGCAGAAAAGATTAGTTACTCAAATAAATAGGCTTCTGGGATAGTTTTAACTGCATGTGTGTTAACTTGTAGGGTGGTTTTAAACCATTTTTCTAAATAGATGACATTTTTAAACATCACTTTATGTACTGAAGCATGAACAGAAAAATCAAGAGCTGAGCGGTTCACCTCTTTATGTAGGCATAAACCTCAATCATTTTAGCTTTTGTTTTAAGCAGAAACTAAATAACATGCACAAGAGAAATTTTTATGGATTGCTGAATTGGAGTAAACCTCAGAATAATAGAGGGAAACTTGGGCTCTTCAGCGCCTTTTACTTCGTTTTTGAATTGAAGTAGTAGCCGACAGGTATGGTTTAAACATTATCTAAGATATATATGCTTCTTTCTCACCAAATCCCAGTGTGTTGCAGTCACAGTTTCACGTATGTAGCTGAGGGGAAGGGGAGGGAGAAAATGCCTTGAAAAGGAGCAAAAGTGTGAAAGATGTTAACAAATAATGTATATGATGAGGACATACTTTACAAATGTAATCCTCAGAACAGTAAATTACACATCTTGAAGGATTTTTTTAATAAGAAAATTTATATTTGTAATGGTCTAAGAATTTTGCTTGTAATCTGATATATAGAATTTTAACTTGGAGCACTTATAGGCACAGTAAAAGAAACTATAGCATTGAATTTTCTTAGTTTAGTTGTCAACATTTTTCTCTAGATTTTTCCTCTTCAGTATCATTTAAATGAACTATAAAAAGCAACACTTAGAAGTCGTGGGAAATTTAAAATTTGATGAAATTACCTAAAGAAGGAAGATGTTAAGAATTTAAAAAATGCAAATACTTGCCAATCCAAAAGTATAATTTAAGGCCTTCAAAGGTAAGAGTTTTTGTTTCTCTGGTCACCTTTTGTCAACTACAATAGTTATATTCACAAACATTCTTTATTTGTATAATTGAAAGTTTCAGAAATTATTACAACTATTTACTATAGAAGTATTTAAAATATAATAACTTCAAAAGTAGATTCTTGGGCGTAAGCTAAGGATTTTTTTAATATAAGCTATATAATTGGACAAAATACATTAGCATTTAAAATCTGAGGTGTGTTAGGACTGCTTTTTGTTTTAAAAATGTGGTTTACATTCAAATTTTTGAAGTGTTTTATGCTTCAGATGCTAAGTTGTAGTTTGGCAGAATTAACAGCATAAGAAATGAACATGCTGTAATTTGAAAAGATGCTTTGAATAAAATTTTAATTTACAGTTTAAGCATGTAGCTCATTCTTAAACCCTTTATAATTTGTTTTCCTATAAAAAATATAACAACCATGATTTAAAAAATTAAAAAGATTTACAAAGAAATGTCACCTGTTGCCCTTCTTTTATTATTTTGATACATTTTATAATTCATTCCAGTTTCATCCCAGTCATCTTTTTACAATAGTTGGAACCATAGTATGAATTGCTTTTTCTTACTTTAAAATGATGGCCTTTTTAGGTTATAGATATTCATTTATCTTTCTCATCTGGTTCATAATTAGTGTTAAAAGTATACTGGTGTACATAGTTTTGCCAACCCTATCATAGACCTCCCATTAGGGAAATCAGGAATGGGACTTCATTTTCCTTATATTCAGGATGTGCCGAGTTTGGGGGCACTTGAGTAAAGCAAATCTCTGCATTTTTCATGACTTATTTTTAGTATTTTTAATGACTTATTTATACGATATCTTTAGTATATCTTTAGTTCTATACTGGAAGTGGCAAGGCTCAGCCCCGGGCTTTGCAAAATAATTGCTGCTCCACCTGTGACGTAAGAATGAGATTTTAACAGCGATGTAGTCTTGGAAGTATGGGCATAGAAACAAATTAAATGCAAATATTGTTAAGGCTGTCATTAAAAGTGACTTCACTGTTTTGCAGTCAAAACTTACTTGGAGACTCACTGGAAACTTAATTGATTTTTTAGGAAATTAACCAAAATGACTTCAAGTTCAGATTATGTTATTCAACTTGCCTGTGAATTCATTTTCTATTTTAGAATGGTCTTGTGTTTTTTGTTTTTTTCGTTTTTTTTCTCCTTGTTTTGGGTAATGTGAACTCTTGCTGCTTTTTTAGTGCTAGTTATTTGTCCAAAGGTCCGCTTTAGTTCTTACCAATATTTACGTTGAAATATGTAGCTTTTCTTAAAAGCTTAGATTTCAGATTTTTAAAGTTATTTACAATGAAAATATGGGACACTTGAAAAATTGCCAAAGCAGGGGGGTCCTGGCGAGAGCAGGCGGTTCTGGGAGGGAGTGTAGCCGCCGGGAAGCACGCAGAAGCCTGGGAGCCCTGAGCCCGCACTCCCGCGCCTAGGCCTCCCCCCCACGCCCCCTCAGGGGCCTTCCGAACGGAAATGACACCTGCACACACCAATGTATGTGGAAACGTTTTGTTATCATCGCCCTAAACGAAGCAACCTGCATGCCCCCCCAGCTGGCGAGTGGGCACACTGTAGCGCTGCTGGGCAAGACCAGGAACGTGGGCGAGTCGCCAAAAGGAAAAGGAGGGAGGGAGCCTTCGCAGAGGACCTGCCCGGGACTTGGAAAGGGGAAGCCGGCCGGGGCGGCGGAGTGAGTGCGGGTTGCCCGCGGGCGGCCAAGGGCGCTTTGGGGACGTGGTAGCTGCATTTGTCCAAAGCACTGCCCCGTGGCCCCGGAAATCCGCCTTTCACTCCCTGTAAAGTCTGCCTTGCAGAAGCATTGTAGACACAAAGTAACACCAGCCCGAAAACTCAACAAGAGAGCGAGGAGCAGGCCGGCTCTCCCACCCCGCGGCCCCGCACAGGTGCCGCACGGCTTCCCAGCACCGGCCCCCGAGCGGCTCTGGGCGCCGACACGCGGGGCTCCCGCGGGCGGAGCGGAACTGGGTGGGGCGGCCGGTGGGGCGGCCGCAGCGGGGCCGGCGGGCGGCGCGCAGAGGGACGGGCGCGGGCCATGACCCGCCAGGCGGACGGCGACCCCGCCTCCGGCCGGCTGCCGCGGCTGCTGTCGGCGCTCTTCTACGGCACCTGCTCCTTCCTCATCGTGCTGGTCAACAAGGCGCTGCTGACCACCTACGGGTGAGGCGGCGCCCGGGGAGCGGGGCCCGGGGCGGGCGGGGGCCCGGCGGTGACCGCGCCGCCGGCGGGAAGGCGCGCCCGGCGGGCCGGGGTGGGGGCTGCGGCGCCCGCGGTGCGGAGGCCGGGGCGGCGCGCGGGGGAGAGCGGAGCGCCAGTGCCCAGGGCGGCGCCCCGCACCGTGCCCGGCGCGCAGGGCCCGGACCTTCTCAAACCCAGCCACAGCCCAACCGCGTCCTCCTGCCCGGGGCGGGGACAGCCTCGCACTGCTTCCTCCCGCGGGACACCCTTGGACCCAAGCGCTCAGGTGCACCCGCGAGCGGAAACACGTGAACATTTTAAAGTACGGATCTAGATGTTCAATAATCTCATCGGTCCTGAGCGGATGAGTTCATTTGTATTGTGTGATCATTCTCACAGGACCAGCATGTTCATGGAAAACGGGGGGGGGGGGGGGGGGGGGGGGGAGATGGGAAGTTCCCAGAATGAGTTCCCAGCAAATTTGTGGTTCCTTGAACCTGGGTGTAAGGACTAGAAAAACCTGTTTAATTCTGCTGTCACGGTAGCAGCGTTGAAAGCTGTGAATTTAGATCCAGTTCCACCATTTAGTGGCTGTCCTCTTAGGCCAGATCCACAGTCAACAAAGTTTTCTCAGATGCAAAAGCTGGATAATTTCTCAGATGCAAAAGCTGAATAAAGTCCCGTAAATTGCCTCCCAGAGCTTTGCAGGACTTGTCATAAGTGAGGCTCTTTGCAAACTATACTTGCTTCGGACTGTAAAATCAGCATTTCATAAAGAGCACGTAGAGATGTCAGAGTATCTTCAGCTTTCTTATCATACTTGGGAAAGTGGAGATCCACATGGGCTGGGCTGCGTACACCTGAAACATACTTACTGAATAGCACCTACTATGCACTGAGCAGCACCTACTATGTGCCAAGCAGTTGCAGGCACCAGGGAAGCAGCTGTGAACAACACAAAACCTCTGTTGGGAGGTCCCAGGTCAGTGGTGGAGACAGAAAATAAACAAGTGGGTTCATGAATCAGCTAGGCGGTTTCAGGTGTGAAATGAGAATGCCTGGTGGAGGGGTTGGTGCTGCAGCATTCCAGACAGCAGGAAAGGTGTTGAAGGGACATGGGCGTGGCCCGGGCGTGGCCTGGGGCAGGAACAGAGAGAGGGCACTGTGGCTGGAGCTGAATGAGCAAGTGGGAGAAGGAGAGATCTGGGAGGTCGGCAGGGAAGGCAGGATCAGATCATTCAATAATATTAATGAAGCACCTGTTTTATGTCAGGCACTGTTCTAGGCACGTGGGATACAAAAGTGAATAAAGCAGATCAACATCCTAAGTGTCAGAGGCCGTACAGCCATCCTCCCAGAGCTTACATGGAGCTTTCTAGGAATCTATAGAAAAGCCTAGCGACCTGAATGACGGGTGGCTATGACATGCTCTGTGGCAGCCACTCATCCTGATCCGGGCCCCAATCAGCCCTCACTCCCTGGATGGCTCCACCCCCAGTTGGCCCCCAGCTCCCTAGACAGGGGTGGGGCTGGTCAGCCAGCCAACCATGGCCCTTTCCAGCCCAGCCTGATGGGCCCCATGGGGCAGGCCCGCCAGACCCCACCCATGTATGAATTCTTGCACTGGGCTTCTAGTTAAGAAATAAACTGCTAGAATTTATGTCATGGCACATGTGGCTGTGCAGTCAAGAGAAAAATAAATCAGGCAGGAAAGGGAGTGAGGTAGGGAGTGTGGGCATGGAAAAGCATTCTGTCTCATCGTGGTCCCTGAAGCCTCACCAAGGAAGTGACATTTGAGCCAAGACTGAAGTGAGATGAGTGAGGAGCTTGGGTGGGAATGAATGGTACTAGGTGGGCCCCAGGTGATGGGTGGATGAATGGTACTAGGTGGGCCCCAGGTGATGGTGGATGAGGGGTACTAGGTGGGCCCCAGGTGATGGGTGGGAATGAATGGTACTAGGTGGGCCCCAGGTGATGGTGGATGAGGGGTACTAGGTGGGCCCCAGGTGATGGGTTGGTGGATTGTGTAGGGCCTTTGTGGCCCCCGTGGAGGCTGTGAGCTAGTTGGGAGCCACTGGAAGGAGCGGAGGAATAGCATGGCCTAAATCGGTGATTGACAAACTGCGGCTCGCGAGCCACATGCGGCTCTTTGGCTCCTTAAGTGTGGCTCTTCCACAACATACCACAGCATGGGCGAGTCTATTTTGAAGAAGTGGCGTTAGAAGAAGCTTAAGTTTAAAAAATTTGGCTCTCAAAAGAAATTTCCATCATTTACTATTGATATTTGGGTGTGTTGACTAATGAGTTTGCCGACCACTGGCCTAAATCACTCTGGCTGCTGGGTTGAGGTGAGATAATGGGGGACAAGCGTGGAAGCAGGGAGACCTTCAAACCAAACAGATTATTTTAATTGTAGTCTGAACGCAATGGCGAGCCCCTTGAAAGGTTTTATTACAAAGGGGATGATACGACATAATTTGTGTTTTTAAAAAGATTTCTTTGCCGGGTGAGGGGGTGGAACAGTGATGATATTGGAAGCAGGGAGAAGAGCTGGGAAGCAGTTGCAGTGTTCTGGATAATTCTAAGAGATTGCTTGGCCGGGGGTGGGGTTAGCATGGGATATGGGGGCGCCATAGACGGCAGGTGTGTCTGGTGGGCCTGTGGCTTGTTGGTCTCCCCGGGGTGCTGCGGCGTGCTTGCTGGTGTCCATGGGAAACGCAAACCCCGTGTAACAGAAATGAGAATGGCCCCGTGCCTGAACCTGGCCATCTCACACACGCAAGGGAAGCCGAGGAGAGAAAAAGAGAGCTTGAACACCTCTGGTACGACCCAGGAGAACACTCTTCGTGGGCCTTATGCCGGCTGACAGGAGGAGCTCGGTCCCGCTTTCTGAACCTGGGCGAGCAGGGTGCTTTCTGGCCAGCTGGGCAGTGGGAGGGCAGTGGGACGCAGGGGAGGGCAGTGCCCAGCCGGGAAGTGTTAGAGGAGGCGTTCCGCACGCTGGCCTTTCCATCTTCAACCTGTCGCGTTCTACAACTGAAGGAGAAAATAGTTTTTTTGTCTCAGCAAGACAAAACCCTCACCACCTTCTGTGTGAGCGGTTCACATTTCTGTAATGTTATACAACTGGAGAACCCTGTTCAGAGAGCACTGTTCGTTCTCTCTTCTCAAAATGCCTCCGGGGCAGGTTTGAGGGGAGGAGGGCTGGTGTGGTTTGGTCACAACCATAACCACAGAAATCTGACCTGAGCATTAGCTGCTCGGGGACCACGTTATGTTGTAGGTTGGAAGGAAGGACGGGCCCTAGCCCTCACCTCCCTCACGGGGTCTTGGGCTGTAGCTCAGGGGATGTTTTTTCTCTTTGATTTTGAGCAGATTTGGGGTTGGGGTACGAGACAGATGGGTGGCCTTAGTTATCTGTTTTAATTATTTCATGTGGTCTTAGTTCAGCATAATGCTGACGTTTCCTGGTTGGACAGAGAGTAGGGTTGCCAACGGCCTTGAACTGTCGGCCGTGCTGAGATGAGCGGGGAAAGCAAGGCTTTCAGAGTTGCGGCGGTCGGTGGTTTTGTTGACATTTTAATGCTATTCTTTATGCCATGAAAAGACTTGGAAATGGTGCTTTAAAAATACGGAACTAGCCGAAACCGGTTTGGCTCAGTGAATAGAGCCGGCGGACTGAAAGGTCCCGGGGTTCGATTCCGGTCAAGGGCATGTACCTTGGTTGCGGGCACATCCCCAGTAGGGGGTGTGCGAGAGGCAACTGATCAATGACTCCGGCATTCATGTTTCTGACTCTCTGTCCCTCTCTCTTCCTCTCTGTAAAAAAATCAATAAAATATATTTTTTAAAAAATGGAACTAAATGGCCTGCACCTCACAAGCTTGGCTGTGTGTCTGCGCCGGGGCACCGCGCAGCGGGTCCCGGACCTCTGGGGGGTGAGCCACTCGGAGAGGCTAATGGAAGAGCCGCGGCCTGGGCCCCGCCAGCGGGGAAATGGCAAGTCTGCGGTCCAAACCGAAACCAGTTCTTAATTTCCTCAAAACTTGGATGAAAACCTGCCTCTCTGGAAGACGCTGCTCCCATCGGCTCCTGGGTAGAGCTGGTGGCGGACAGGCCGGTGGCTCCCCGTCCCGCCCTGCACAGGCCCCTGGCGACTCCTCCCGCTCCTGCTCCCTGTGCTGGCCCCTGAGCCCGGGCTCACATGGAGAGACCTGTGTCTGGTCGCCTCTGGCTTCAGCGCGCACTTGCAGCATCCTGAGCCACGGCCGCTGGCCCCTGCCCTGCCGAGGCGGCTCCCCGCGCTCCAGCCCGCGGGGAAGGCTGTGGGGGGTGGGGGAGGACTCCCCGCAGCCCTTCCCTCAGGCCCAGGGGCCCAGGGGTCCACAGGCCAGCACTGGAAGTCATGTGACTCCCGTGAGGCCCCCACCTGGGCTTGTCATGTGTCCAGCACCATCTCCTCCTTTCCTCTGCCTCCTTCCTTCAGTGCTTGAACAGCTCTGACCGTCCGGAGAGAAAACCACTGTGGGCTGGTGGGTCTGACTTTACATTGTTGATGGAGAACCTCAAACAGCTCTCCTTGTCCCAGAATGGCTCTTTCAGGCTTTGCTCTTTGATGTGACACCTCCACGCCCCTATCCTCCTCCTGCCTTTTTAGATGGATGGATTGAAGACAGATGCATAGATTGAATTACTTCTTATATAAATGGTCCACACTACAAGCATCACATATTTACTCATCTGTAATAATAAAAGCGTAACATGCTAATTAGACCAGACATCCTTCCTGTCAAAGCTGGGGCTGCGAGGAAAGAGCTGGGGGGTGGGGGTGGGGGAAGGGGAGGCCTACTCTTGCACAAGTTTCATGCATCAGGCCTCTAGTTTATTTATAGATAGTTTTCTTAAATCCAAAAAGGAGTTGGGAAGGGGACTTACACTCAATTACTTAATTTTTTTTAGGATCACCTACATCCTCCCTATCT